TAAATAATTGCTACCACTGTTGTAAAATCTTCACTTTCTTGGCACACTGAGGTACTTTTGTGCAACTTTTGAGCTGTATGATGCAGAAGTAGGCTGCAGCGCTTTATACGAGAACTAATTTTATACTGTGGCTTTGCACTGACTGCAGCACTGTGTGTCTCCGTCTCTTATTACTAATAACATGAACCTCTTGTTTTTTTTGACAATAAAGAATATTTGCAGTATTTTTTTTAAAATAGTCATTCAAGAACACACCTGACCGTGCCTACACTCAGCAAAGCCACATTAAAGTATTGATGAAGCATTTCACATGACTTTTCAGCTCATAATAATAATGATGCCACTGTAAAGTTTACTAAGCATTAGCAGGAATGGGGGGAGAGTACAATCTACCAAAGACATCTACAAATGAGAAAAACATGCACAAATAGTCTATTTTTAACACAACACTAACACTAGAAATAAGGGCATGAACATTGACTGATAGTGCTATGCTTTAGAATGTATGAAATGTTTTGTAAAAAAAAAATTGTCTTTTTATATTACTGAACTTCATGGATGTCGCCTTCTATGTGTGTATTTTTTTTATGTAACTGTCACCTTTCATTCTGACTTTTTTGCTGGCAAAAGAATACCACCTGTAGCTACCGAAAATTAAAATAGCAGCAATAACTATATTAGACAAAAGCCCAAGTGTTATATTTTGTGTACAATTTTCTACATTTTTATACATATGTGCTATATTTTACCATTTTATGAATAAACATGTTGAGTTTGGGATGGATGCAGAATGTTTGTGGTCCAACTTTTCTGTTGCATGTTTCTTGTTGTGTGATGCAGTTTTGTTCCACATATGCTCACATGAGCAATATGGAGTTGTTGTTTTTTGTAGTGCTCATGTGTTGAAGAGTGAATTATGCGTTAAACATGGATCTAGGTTAACAAACAAAATTGTATATAAAGAGGATTTAATATTTGTCCTTGCTACAAGCAGTCTTTTTGTCTGGTGAGTTAATGTAGTGACTCCGTTTCTCCAGTAGAGTGCAGTAGAACATGAGGAGCGTGGGCAGACACTGTAGGCTCTTTAAATTTAATTCTCTGCAAACGAAGACCTGATAGCGTTGCTTGCTGTACTTAATCTGTCACTCCCGCGCGGGCTTAAATCGAATTACTCTTCCAAATTATTCAAAGTCTGTCCAAACGACCAAGCTGAAGGCTCTGGTCCTAAATCATCAGTGTTTTTAATCCCGCAGACTGTTTCCATCTAATTGTTTTTATTATTATTAAAACCTCATAGCAGTTATGTGTTATGGGTTTGAGCGGTCTGCTAAGTCGATGAGCAGCGAAACTGGCTGGACTGGCTCTGTGGTCAGTGGGCACTGTGGAAACGCAGTGGTAGATGGTGGTGTGAACATGAGTCAAGAATAGTTTAAGCAGAAAGTCTTTTTCCCCTCAGACTGGAGTAAAATTAGAGAAAACGGAAAAGAAAAGTATATTTCCTCCCTGTAATAAACTTGCGATTATTGCTGTATCCTGGGACTCCACGAGGTATCCTTCCGCCGGGACGAGGAGAACCAGAGATGTACACCTGTTCAAACTTCACCTCTAAACACTGAGCGACTGATTAAAAGAAACATATGAATTTTGGTAAGTTGACCATAAGTCGCAGTTTACGTTATTGTTCATGTTTTGTCGTGAAATCGTGAAAATGCGCCCAACCATAGTCCCAGTCAAAAGGTCAAAACGAAGGCATTCGGTTTTCCTTACAGGCGCGTGAGCTGTAGTAACCATAACGTCATTAAATAAAAGCACCGCGCGAACGAGCCAAACCAGCTAACTGATTTATAACTGACTGCAACTTGTAATAAAGTCACTACAGGCAAACTTTTAAAACTGAAATATTAGAATACCAGTGTCACCTCCTAATAACTACTGGTTACACAGATTTCTCCTCCTTTGACCAAAATAATTTGTCATTTAATCGATTCTTCTTCTTTTTTCTTGATAAGCCCGAAAAGCTGATTTACATTACAGAGCTGGCTTTCTAAGATGTTGTCACTACCTTTACTTTCTCCAGTGGCTAATTTTGATCCAGGGGCCCCAGTGTGCTTAGACTATATTGGCGTTGCGGTGTTGTGGCATGGCACAGCAGACTCACGGGCAGCCACTACAGCCTGGCAGTGATACTGAAGCTGACTCATTTGCTCCAAGGCAAGGGGAAGTTTTACTGAGGGACTACTGATTTGCACTCTGGCATATCCAGATTTGTGATTTGAAACAATAGCTCTGTTTCCACAGAGGGGTCACATAAGGTGTTTGCAGAAGCATCTATGCTGAGAGAGGACAAAAAGAAGAATTACACTTATAAATAAATGCACATACACATGCACATGTTAGTGCAAAACAAACTTATTTTACCTCGCCCATGTACACTTAAGAGGCCACCTATAGATGCAACTGACAGAGATGGGCTCTATAAAAAGTAGTAAAAGTTCACCCTTTTAAAGATAATGCCTTCTAAAAGACTTGAATGGTGCTCATTTTAAAGGATTTACTGCAAAGCTTTAGTGGTTACACTGTAATCTTGCTTGACAAAATGACCAAATCTAAAGCGCACTGACCTGCTCTGATATGCTCAAAATGGGCATTATCCTCTTTCTTCTTTCAGACCAAAGGCTTTGCGAGGCAAAACACGTCTCCTTTCACCAAACCAGAGCGAGTGCGTGTCAAAAAAAAAAAATCTAATGTAATAAGTCAGATGGCAGTAATATCAAGATAGTGTTGTTGCTCGTCTGTAATGTGGTCACCATTTTTCTGTGGCGAATGGAAATACCAAAATAAGAACAGAGTTTTTCAAATGCAAAGAAGTGGGCAGCATAATGACTTTTCTCTTTTCTTGTCTTGCCATTCAGAAGAAGGCTTTTCTTTCCCTTTGTCACTTAGACTGGCATATAATTAACTCCTGCTTAATATGCTGTGTAAGGGCTCTCCTCCCCATGCAAGAAGCTTTGAACCCACAGACCACAGATTGGGACAAAACCCCAGTAGGACTGCTTCCTTCATGTGTGTGTGTGTGTGTGTGTGTGTGTGTGTGTGTGTGTGTGTGTGTGTGTGTGTGTGTGTGTGTGAGAGCTGTAAACTAGTAAAGAGCTACTCAAATCAGGCCTACCAGGAAAATGAGCTGTACTGATAGAACAGATGCATCAGTTTGTGTTCAGTATTTGT